GTCCAACAAGATGTATACAAATAGTTGTACCATTACATACACATCGATCAGCAAGTGTTCCACGTCGACAATTTATTATTATTCTTACAAATAATCCGAAATTATTACGACAAACTCGAATATTTCAACCACAGGTATAAAAAAGATATTAATTTAAAGATTTTATTATATTTTCAAAAAAAGGCTTCATTTATGAATATATTATATTGATAACTCATATTAAAAAAAGAAAGAATGACGATAAATATCTTTTACTTTGATTGTTTCTAATTTCAGCAAAATATACAAACAACTACAGTTTCAGCACATAATAGTGCTACAAATAATGCAGCAGTAAATAGCAATAATCGTGAACAAATACTCAATAATCTCTTACGAGTCTAATTAAGAGAAGCAGCAAGTCATTATCTTACAAGAACTCGTCGATCACATCCTATTCATTATGTCTTTGATATGTCTGACATTAATAAAGGACAGTTATAATCTGAATATCCTATAATAGGGATGTGCAGTTTCAGTATACTGGTCACCGATAAAGTCACACTGGCGTTCACCGGTACACTGATGACACTGACACTGGTGTGCACTGAATCAGTACATACACTGACACTGATGTTCACTGAATCAGTACATACACTGACACTGGCGTTCACTGAATCAGTACATACACTGACACTGGTGTTCACTGAATCAGTACATACACTGATACTGACTGCACTGATTCCACTGTCTGCACCGACATTGGTGTTCACTGAACCAGTGCATACACTGACACTGACTGCACTTGTTGCACTGACGCACACTGGAACACTGACGTACTGATAATGATTTCCATTGACTAGGATTTATACACAGAAGACGACGACATATTCCGCTTGTAATATGTGGATTAACAAAAGATTTTCATCGAATGGAAGCATATCTGCTTAGCAGTTCGGTTTCTTGGTTGAGATAAGCTACATACACTTTTACGTACATGCACTTTTTTCACGATTGCATAAAAAGCTGTTAGCGCAAACCCTTGCGGGATTAAAAATGTGAAACACGATGTAGCTACTGCTTCCAATGTTCTAAAAACAGTTGTTTTCTATGCATATTGGCGTACATTTCTTGATCATGCCTAACTTTACATTACAGAGCTTGAACAGGATAATACTACATATATGCTCCAATCATATATTAGCTATGCATTATCTCTGATATTTCCTTGAAGTCTTCTATCATAGTCTATGATGGCTTCTGAAGGCCATCTGTTAGAGCCTATGATAGGTTCAAAGCCCTGTCAATCACGGTCTGTGATGGCTCCTGAAGGCCATCTGTTAGAGTCTATGATAGGTTCAAAGCCCTGTC